TGTCTCAGTGTATCCTAAAAGGAAAAAAAAAAGACTTCATTATTGACGTATTCATGTGCAATAAATTTGTTTTTTCAGTAAAGATAAATGAGATTAATGAGGCTAATCTGTCCTTCAGTTAGTAATGCTGGTGTTCACTCCGGTGCTATTAAACTTTTAAGTCAGATAAAGATTCCACGTATCACAATATAATGTCAGACACTTTGAAATAACCAAATAGAAAGTGGTTCGAGTTACATAATAACTGTGTAATAACTGTATAATCCGTTGTCTACCAGATTAATGGAGGATTTTTGGAGCTGTTCAGTGAAAAGCCCTTTACTTACTTTCGCTAATGTCATGGTAAGCTGTGTGGCAGGCTAGGTTAGGACCCAAACGCAGGACTCAGAAACCAAAAGCTTAACTTCATAAATCTTTATTGCTGGAAAATACAAATGAAAACTAAGCACATGAACGCTGAAAGAAAGAAACAAAAGATGAACCAGACATGACAACTAACAACTAGACGTGACTTGAGAACCTGGAGCTTATGCAAGAACACACAGCAAGTGTGGAGAACGCGACAGCTAACAGAAGGTGACTGAGGACTTAAAAACACAGGCAGGATAACGGGAGGATTTGCAACAAGAGGGAGACACAGCTGGACCTAATCTGACATGACGAGACAAAGAAAAGGAAAACTCAATACACTGAACACGGAACAGAGATTATCAAAATAAAACAGGAAGCGTGACAAATACGTAGACGAAGATGAGACACGCGAGCGTCACAGTGTGACTGGGGGGAATGAAAACAGAGACAAGACTAAGAAAACACAGGATGAGACTAGACACTGAGGGAGACAGAATATAATCCCAAAGAACTGAAGGAAAACAAAAACACACCCCAAACATGTTGAAAGAATAACTAAGAACCTAAGAGCTACAACCTAACAGAAACAAAATGATCAAAAGAGAGCACTAAAGTACAAGAAAACCAAACATAGATCACTCAAAGAGAATAACTCAACTATTACAACCAAAACAGAACACTCCAAAACATAAACCCTGGATCACTGACAGCTAAGACCTAATTTAGACATCTCTATGTAAGTGCCCGACATCGTTGCTGGCACTTATGCTGGGACCTTTATGGGTCTCCACTCTTAGCTGTGGTCAGTTTGTTTGGGAGGACGAACGTATATGTCCCTCTAGTTTTTCCACTTCTTTGTGCATTCCCTCACATCCATTCCGATTTCTGCAGTCTTCCTCCAGGAGTTTGCTGACATTTGTGAGTCCTTGTATTGATGCTTCAATTATTGTTCCTCATAGTGGGACAGTGATCGTTATTCTCTCAGGGATAAATTGAAAAACTTTGGCGGAAAAGTAGCTGGAAGTGCACCAGAGGACTCGAGGGTGCTGAACAGGACAGTCACAGTTGACCTGATGTGTACTGATGTTCACCTTCTGGGGAGGTGAACGCCGGGTTGCTTTTAGAGTTTCAGAGTGGTTTATGATTACCACGTAGCTACGGTGACTCAATAAGTCAGCATGGCCCACTGGGGAAAAAAAATTAACTTGGCTCTATATAGTTTCAACACCTAAACCATGAAATGATCTGAAATGCAGACAATTTTTGCCTGAACAGAACGTCAATGGAGATGAGGGATAGTAAGAATCAAGAGAGTTTGAACTGGTTGAGGAACTACCAAATGAGATCCCAAGCAATGAAGAAGAAAGTAACCCTCCATGCAAAGTTACTGGACCCACGCAGCAGCTTGAAAGAAGTGTATGACGAGAAACTACAGAACTATCGGTAAGTTCTGTATAAGTAAGGCTATTTATTCTGCAGTTTTACATTTCATGTCACAAGAACCACACATGCCTGCTACAATAGTTAAAACTATCATCTCCTCTTACGTGAAGGGAGGCTGATCAACAAAGAATGAGGGATTACATGAGAGAATTACGGGAAATGAAGGCCCGAGTTAGTGAACGCCCTTATCTGTTTGAACAGGTGAAACAGGTAAGGAATGCCTGAACATTACTACATGCATTAGGCGACATACGTTCAGGAATCTAAGTCTGAGTTTTCACTGGCAGAGAAATGCGAAAGCTCACGCAGAGCAGACATACAGAAGCAAACTGAAGAAAGCCGGGCTGAAAGAGCAGTTCGTTGAAGAAAATGGAGAAGGGCTCATATCCGAGGATGACTGCAGCACTGAAGACGACATTCGAAGCAGGTATGCAGCGTGAGAAATTGTAGCAAGTTTTGTTCATCCTGTGAGTAATACCACTGTGTCCGGTAAAAATATGAATAGCACTGCTGTTGGGAGAGCCAAGGACTTCATGTGGTTTGGTCATGTTGCATTACATAATTTTCTGAGCTTGCTCTACAGTCTTTAGAGAAAAAAAAAGACCATTTCCGTAGCCAAGTAAAAGTTCGATGTAATTACAATATAGTCATTTTCTAACCCAACATGTCTGATTTAGGGAAGAAAATGGAGGAGACGGGGAGAAAATTGAAGATGTGGGAGAGAAGAGCGTGAAGTCCAAAGGGGAAGAAATGCCATGATCAAAAAGGTTCAGGCGGCACAGAGTTTTGTGGCCTCTCCACTAGAAAACAACACCGTCCTCAAAAATGATTCATGTCACTGCTGACTGTCCGCACCAAATGTTTGATAGTTTAAGATGAGCAGCTATAAATCACGAAATTCGCAAAACATCTGGAATTTGCAATCACAAATGGAAGGAGATAAAACTTTATAAAAATGTACATAAGTGATTGCTGTTGGTTTTACAACACTTTCCCCAAGGAATATGTAAGCTGTAGTTTTGAAGATGATGAGCATGTTGTTGCCGGAATAAATGGTTCAAAAATAAACTGAGAACACCAGTTGAGCCCAGTTTGTCTGTAGCATTAATCAGTCTCCGTGTTAAAAAGATAATACTTAAATTTGCTTTAATTTGAAAGCTTATATTCTAATGCTTACAGTTGCATTTTACTTCATTATTATTTTTTTTTAAAATTCATGTTTTACATGTTTTTACATGTTTCTAATTGAACATGGCCCGAAGGAACACAGGGCATCTGACATTGGCTTTTCTTAGATTGTCGGGTTAAAGTTCCCAGTTATTTCTACAGCCACAGTGCCACCTAAATAAACAGTCCTTACCATGCATCTGCATTCACACAAACCATCTCAGTGGTCTGCCTGCACATCCACATCAAATACTCTTACACACTGGCCTCCACTGTATCTTGTGCTTTGACAGCTGACTGCCAGGAATTCGAGACATCGAGACATTTTTACTTACCAACCACATGGGAGTGTTTGAATATTTTTACAAGCATAATCAATGGAGATCAGTGCACGCCCGTATGGTTTTGAAGGCTGTTGTGCCGTGCTTTGGAGTCAGTGTAGTAAAGTCACATGAGAAAATATTAAAATTCACTAAGTGGCATCACTAAGCATGGTTTAAAACGTAACACTTAGATAGGAGTTAACATAATCTATGCATCTAGCGTGCATATTTATGCTGCACGTACTGCATGCATCTCACTGTAGTAATATTCAGCTGGCTGTCTTCAGATTTAAATATATTTGCATAATTGCAGTATGGCGACGAGGCTCGTGACCTCTAAAATACTACACGGTGCTTTTTTCTTAGCAGCGTTGCCTCCACATTAGCCATGGAATCGTAATAAGTTTTCAAGATTTCCGTCTGATTAATTTGCTTTCTAACCTCTATCTAACTCAGACCCAGGAACTGCCAAACAAGTCCAGGGCCTTTTGGACTCCTTATATGGTCAAGTTCCTGGGCCAGTGTGAAAGAAGGGGAGTCTTGTCTGATGTTTGAAGGATGCATTGATTTAACACAATTAATGAACAGGTACATTTTCTAAATACATCTTTATTTATTTTCCCACTGCTAACTTATTAACATTTCTTTAAATGCTAGATTGAGCACTTGTATAAATTAATGTAACAGTTAATTAGTGTTTAATTGTTATTTCCTTAAGTGGGAGGAGCGACTATCTATATAGGTGCAAGAGCCCAGCGCAAAATTGTTTCTCAGCGGTTTGATTTAGTTTTGGATCATCATCTTCAAGGTGGGGCTATTTTTCATTTTGTTTTCTATTAAATGTTTTTATCTTCAGTTTGACTGACCAGTCTGCACTATAAATATGGTGCAAAAATCCACTGCTGTGAAGAAAAAATGGGGAATAATAAGAGACCAGACTGTGGAGCTGTCGGCAAGCCTGTTGTTTGTGCCTCTGCCGCTCAGCCATCCCTCACAAATACAGAGAAGGAGAAAAATCCAAAATGTTGTCACATAATATGTAATAAATAACAATCAGACAGTCGCTTCTTTGAAAGCTCAAATATCACAGGATCAAGCTTCAAGGGCTACATCCTGTCAGGTTGTCATGGGAACCATGTATCCCTCCTCACTCTGCCACTGTAGTCCATTTAGGAGAAAGCTGCGCACCTCTGATTCCCCGATGCAAAGCTCAAAGCAAAACAAATTGCTTTCAACCTGTTAGATAATGTCTGAGCGGGAACCTGCATCGGTGAAACGCGATGGAGCAGGCGGCTGTGACATCTATTTAAACAAACTGCAACCTCAGATATGTGTGGAGGCTGAGAAAGAAACAAACACATCCCATTTAAATTAATGAGAGGCTACACGCTTGGCCGCTGAATGTTATGATCGCGCTGTTTAAGGAGTGGCTCTGCTCAGCAGATGAACAATATAATTTCACCGAAGTGGTGCGTGCAGGTCTCTTATTACTCTAGCCGCTGTGCAGTATTAAAATTCCCACACATTTCATTTTTCAAATGCATGTGCTGCAAAATTTAGGCAGAAACATCCCAAAATAGATCATGTGGGCCTTAAATGGATTTTACCTGCTTTACCCAGCAATTGCACTGCACAGCATTTTTGCTGTTGCTGTTTTCTTGCTTATTTTCACTTGATTACAACTTAAAAATCCAGTGGCTAATTTTTTTGGGTTAAATGCAGTGCATGTTATGTGTGCAAGCAGCATCTCTGCATGTCTCAGTCCTCGGTTCACCTGCAGGAGGAGCTGTGTCTCGCTGCAGCTTATCTGGAGCAGCAGAGAGATATCCCTCTTTTTCTCCTTCAGCGGCATGAATAATATCCCCAGAGCTGGAGAGAGAGCATATCAAGAGGCAAACAGGAAGGGGAGAGAGAGAGATAGAAGCCTGTGTGACAGATAAGATTGTGGCACAACTTGTCTTCCTGACTGCACCGTGAGCTGGGGAAAGAGAGGAACAAGTGCACCAGAGTGTCAGGCAAGGCTTCTGCCTGCACACATAAACACTCACAGACACACACACACACAGAAAAAGACAGACCCCACAGCACAGAAGCACCAGAAGGAGTTCAGAGAGAAGACTGACCTCAAAAAGGTACAGTATGACTGTGTGTCTCGAGCTGTGCTGAGCTGAGCGTCTCTCCTGCACCAGTGTCTCCACCCTTACACTATATTGGCAAATTGCTCACCTGATGCTCAACTTTGTTTTGCAGGTGGATTGGCAGAAGTTTTGTCTGTGCATTCCCTCGGATGCTATGGCCGTCCTCCAACTGATCGTTTAGAGGAGTTGAAGAACTTGTCTTGTGATTGCAGCCTGAGGTAGCATGGAGGAGCTGTCGACGAAAGACAAGGAGCTGATACGAGACAGCTGGGAGAGCCTGGGCAAGAACAAAGTTCCTCATGGTGTCGTCATGTTCTCCAGGTAATTTTCTATCATGATCAGCACGAGGCTGTTGTTTAATTCTTTGCGCTGGAAGAAAAGATCTAATATATAAGCATTCAAAGCATAAGTGATAGGACTGTGTATTGTTGTTACCTAATAGCAGCAGTGTAAATAAATGTAGCACAGGTGTATATCCTTTCCTGCACACTTTCCACATGAACCACGGACCGGAGGCTTGACTTGTTGCTTGGCGACAGACCGCAATAATCCTGCAATTTACTCTGAGACAGCTGCTGCTAAATCAGACAGGGGAGATGTGTAGATGTTTGCTTTGTAGATTGATTTTTATCCCTCTGTGAATATTTGAGGCTACGCCATGTGTGTACACCTATAGAACAGCGTTATATTTGTCTGTGTTAGACTGTTTGAGCTGGACCCTGCGCTCCTCAATCTTTTCCACTACGGTACAAACTGCGATTCCACACAGGACCGCCTCGCCAGCCCCGAGTTTCTGGAACATGTCACCAAGGTGAGCTCTGCTCACCGCATTAACCACCACAAGTACACAGACACGTTAAAGTTTAGTTTGTGCACAGTTGCGATGGCTCTCTGTTTCTCTTGTGGCCGTGGCCTCAGGTGATGCTTGTGATCGACGCGGCCGTCAGCCACCTGGATGACCTTCACTCCTTGGAGGACTTTCTGCTCAACCTCGGGAAGAAGCATCAGGCAGTGGGAGTCAGAACGCAGTCATTTGCCGTAGGACCAACATCTTATCGCACAACTCTGCCAAAGCAATTTCACGAGCGAATGAGCCGTGAACACTTTCTTCTTTTCTTTTTTTTTTTCCTGTGTGTTTTGCAGGCGGTGGGTGAGTCCCTTCTCTACATGCTGCAGTGCAGTCTGGGCCCAGCCTACACGGCACCGCTGCGTCAAGCCTGGCTCAACATGTACAGCATTGTGGTAGCAATGATGAGCCGAGGGTATGCCGAGAATGGCGAAGACAAGGCCGACTGAGGCGCCAGTAGTTGTCAAATCATCAAGTTGGTTGCCATGGAATAAGGTTGTGTAACTTGCAGCATTGTGGCTTCAGCTGCTGTACATTTGCTCTGTGAGTGGGGTCGCATAGCGTAGCGAACGTGTGATATAGTTACACATTTTTCAGTCGGACCAGCGAGTCACAGAGCGTGTTTTCTTTGCTGTGGATGTTTAGCTACCAGGCAGTGCTGTTTGTACAGTTTCAGAGTGTAAGTGGACTGTAATCTGAATGCCTCACACTGAGAAGAAACACTTGGGAAACTGTGGAAGGGGTTTTATTTTGTATATAATGGCTTGATATATTTACTCAAATGATAACAGTGACTGTAGTGGTGTTTGTGGTGTATCTTAAAAGAGTTGCACACTTGTGAAACACTAGCTGTTATTATGATTAGACATCACACACTGCTCAAACTGTGATGGTTACTGTGGCCAGCAAGGGCAGCTCTTTATCTAACTGGAACACAGTGATACTTAACAGAACGTGTGGGACAATGCAATGTGATTTTTCAGAAGAATATCAAAACTGTGTGTTTTTTTAAAATCGATATTACACTTCATGTCTTTTGAGTGACTTTGTCGTTTAACTTTTAAGCTGCTAGGATGAAGAAAAAACAGTTTTTTAACATTTTATTCAATAGATTCCTGACAAGAACTGTTTTACTCTCTCTGATAGCTTTCTTTAGTTATCCACGACTGTTAAGGCGTCCAAGTGCACCTTCCTCGACGCAGCGTGCGATGCGCTCCTCAGTCGAGGGTGTGAGTATTTCAGTAAGCTTCTGATGACTGTTAAACTAAACTTTAACTAAAAGACTGTTATATGACTTTAAGAGACTGAAAGTAAAATGGCATCTTGGAGGACTTGTAACATCTTTGTTCCTTGGCTATCAGTTTCCAGTTAATCTTAGTGTAAAGTAGTAATGGTGTATCGTAGTTGCTTAACTTATTGATGCTTATTAACTGCGATGATGTGGGTACTATTACCTCAGCTTTACAGGTGACAGGGATCAGTGGCCTGTTTTTCTCCAACTTAGGAGGTTCTGTGAGGAAGTGAAGCTGGAAATAAATATTTGTTTTGACTTCAGAAACCAAACCAACTTATGTGATGACAATTTTACATTTAAATTATTGACACAAAACAGATGATACAGAGAAACTGTGCTTGACTGTATGTATGTGTGTAGTATTTATGCTGCCATAACGCTGTATGTATCATCAGTTATTTACATCTATAGCCAAGTAACTTAGCAACAGTGTGCCAAGTATAAGATAATAACACCACACAACTGTAAATCCAAGCTGCTGATATGTGTTTTTCCTCGCTTCAGTTTATATTTACAAAGTTTATTTTTATATTCTGAATTGTATGTGCAGTGAAAGAGCATTGATTTTTTTCTTGTCATATACAATATGACATTCAGATACATTGTACTGTGTAGATTTCGGATAATGAACCCAATACAAGAAAACAATGTGGCAAATATGTTACTTTTAATCAGGTTTCAGTTCAAAGAATAGCAGATATATAACAGCTATATTAAAAAAGATGTGTAGTTATTATAGAAGAGTATAAGAACAGGGCTTTTTTATTAATATTATGTGTTTAGTCTGTACTTTCCAGGCTGCAGGTATAATGTTTGTACCCTGGTTGTGTAGGTGCTGTGTTTATTGTCTTTCTTTTCTTAGTCTCAGTACGCAGCCCTATGCAGGTTGTTGTTCTCCGTGTTTTTAATTACCTGACAGTAAGTATTTTCAGCTGGCACAGCTGGCGTTTTTAACATCCAGATGTGTATATATTGGCTGTCTCGCTGTCTACCTCATCATTATCAGCTGCTACTCAACAGCGATGACTTCACCTAGTTATCCTTCAACCAAAAATTACTATTACAGTTAATACAAGCACACACTCTTTGTACTGGATTCCATCTTAAACTTTAAATATGTCATGTGCTTACTTGAGGCTAAATAAAGTGATCTGTGGGTATTTTACTGCTTATTGAAGTCAGTGTGTTTTCCTCCTCGTCTTAAATGTGTTGTCACGGACTGATTATGATCGCAACACAGCGGTCAGGTTTTGAAATCAGTCACACAATCCCTGATTTGCTTCCCACTGACAGCCCATCTCTCTGTGTTACATAAGATCCAAGCGTCGAATGTCTCATCGCCCCCCTGGCTTCCGAGACGAGGGCGACTTCAGCCCACTTACTCATGCAACTGCACAATGTCACCTCAAGTATGTTTTCAGAAATTCACAGTATCCATTGTGTTCTTCACAATTTGGATCACTTTATCTTTATTTTCCTTTATGCTTTCCTTCAGAAACGGGCAAAACTGTGCAGATTTTGGATGCGTTTCTACTTGAATATCATCTAAAGCCAGAGTGATCAGATGAGTGGGGGCAGGCAGGAAGGTTATGATGATTTACACACATATCAGCTCATTTCTCTTTTTTCTGTTGTGTCACTGTGAAAGTCGCTGTCTGCTCGGCTGATGGTGGAGCAGCTGACTTGGAACTTACCCGTCTGTCTGCACTGCCAACAATATCCTTACCCTCTCTGCAAGAGTCTGCTGGATTTGTGTTGGCCTCTTGCTCTTGCAATATAAAAACCAAAACTGAACTTCATGCTCTCTCTCATCCCCTGGTAATGGATTGCAACAAATTTCAATAAACTCAAATTGACTATATGTTTATTTCCTTTATGGTTTAATCTGTTCCTCTACTGCTACAGACTGACCTTGTAGCTTTTTGCTCTGAAGGCTGTCGTCTGGGGAAAAAAAAGTCTGCGAGAAAAGACAACATACATATTTTTAGAAAGTCTGCAATGTGTTTTGGAACAAAAAAAGAGGGGGGGGGGTATTCATTGTTGTCATGGCAACTGTAAGGTGATGGTTGTGTATATGTGCGTTTTTGATGAAGGAGAAAAACGTTGCATTGCTCAATCACTCACTCATCATAAATCCTACAGTGAAGAGGTGTTGACAGTGACTGTGCATGTGAGCTCGGGCTAATAAGATTTGCTCCAATGGCTCTCTGGGAGACTGCAGCACAAGTCTGCCAAGCAGCCATCACAAGCATGAGAATGAGCTATCTGTCACCAGCTGCTGAACAGCTACTCCTACTAAGAAGTAGTCTTTGAATTCCCTTTTCTGCCTGTCTATGGATCAGGCTCATTCCTGTGGAAGATGTAGCGAGAGATAATCTAAACAGTCAAACCTATAGTGAGACTAGAAAACAGATGGGTACTGTAGTTTCTCAAACAGGATAGTGGATTTATTTGGGACTGTGTGTAGCTGTTGAACAGTACAACTTGGGTGTACTACATCTTATTTACACAGGATTGATCAACATCAGCAATGGAATTTCTGATGTCTTCTACAATTGGTAGTCCAGAAATATGACAAAGGGTATATTCTGAAATGGCAACCTACATGGGTGATTAAACCAACTGTCACTAATGGTCTTTTGAGTTGCCTCCAAATTCAGTCCCCGCATACCCATATGTTTATTGTTATAGACTGTATATAAAAGATGGAATTGGCCATCAACCATTTGTTTCTAACAGTGAGGTCTCATTTTGAGACCTCTAGCATTTTTGGCTGGTACCATGTTGGCTCTTTCTATCCAGAAATGGCCACATCAGGAAAAAGGGTGGAGTGCTGAGTCGGGAACTGTTGCTGGGAAGTTTGGTTAGCACAATCATCTCTACGGTTTACAGAGAATGGTCTGACAAAGAAAAAATATCCAGTGAGCGGCCGTTCCCTGAGCCTTGTTGATGTCAGAGGTCAGACGAGAATGCTCTTACTCCTTTTAGATGATAAGAACCGCTGAACCACTTGTTACAACCAAGATGAATGCACATTTGCAAACCTTGAAGCTGATGGGAAACAGCAGCAGAAGATCACAGTGGGTGCTACTCCTTTTAGCTAAGAACAGCGAACTAAGGCTACAATTCACACCAGCTCACCAAAATTGGATAACCGAAGACTGGAAAAGCATTTTCTGGTCTGATGAGTCTTTCTGCTGTAACACTTGGTTGCTTGCCTTGTATCTTCTATATATATCTGTATGTTTTCTTGGCATATTTTGGGCCACGTATGTCAACTGAGCATGATTTCCCTGTTAACGCCTAGTGTATCATATTTAAGACAGACTGTTTTTTGTGAGTTTTTGAGACTTCTGCATTATCAGTGTGATTCCCCCCCCTTGAAAAAGATAAATAAAGAAATAGCCAGGCGTAGTAAATATGGCACAAATTAAAAGTCATATGGAAATTCAAATTTAATTAACCATCTGACAAATTTGTCAGATGGTTCAATAAACTCTTCATTTTCAAAACAATTGAATTTTCAGGCCATCATTTAATATTTCGGGCTTTAAAGAGTTAAACCTATCATTTTTCTGACCATGTCTGGGTCTGTGAACTAGGCTCCCTTACTGTGTTGGTGTTGTTGCATTATAATGCCAAATCCAAAATGCGTGCTCCAGTTGTGGTAAAAATTGAATTAGAAAAAATGCTAATTAGCAATCTTTGAACACATCTATAAAACCAGGTTTGCCAGCAGCTATTCCCAGGCTCCGACACAATCTGTGTATGCCCTGAAACCCTGAGTGATTTGCATAGGGCATAGGGCATAGGGCTTATAAGCCATATAAGGCTTTCCCTGTTCGAAACATTGCCTCAGTTAGAAAAACAGTCAGCAGAGGGTTTAATCTGAAAGTCGAGAAAGACGCTGTGATGTGACTGAATGAGCAGCTGCTAACAGGTTCTTGGTGGGGGGGGAATTGCTCTCTGAAAAAGGTTCACCCTTAAACCAACATGGAAAACAAAAGGTCTCTACGGTGCTATTAAATTTGAAACTTAATACTGGACAAAAACCATGTTTAGAAGAAGATTGTGAGAAGAGCTGGAAAGTACAGCCACTAAATCGACATTGTGGTAATTGTGTTTTGCCAAGGGGAACAATGAACGTTCTTATATAAGTCAGTTGGATACTATAATATACTCTAGGGGACTTAAAATACTAACTTTTTAAGCTGATTTGTATGTTGACTCAAAGCCATATGGGAGTGACAATATGGTTGCAGCAGGAGGCAGAGACATTTTCTATTCTAAGCATCTGGACAGGGGAAAGCAGATGGCAGACCACAGACCCAGAGGAATTCACCTTTCGCTGAGAATCATGCCATCAGCAGTTGCCACAGGTGACGGCGGAAATGTCATCCGTGGCATTTTCTCTCTCTGTCTTCTTTTGTGCAATGAAGGAGTATCGTGCACGGTGGAAGTCTGGTATTTTTCCACTCTGCAAACTGTTTCGTACAGAGAAATTCAACCAATCCAGTCAGTGCAAGATGGTTCATACATTTTCATTATTTTGATAGCAAAACATCTTTAAACAGCACAAGAATTTCCACTGTGGTTCGATTATGAAATGTACTCCCATAGCCACACTCTGATGTGGTTTCAGGGCAAGTGAGCTCTCTAGTATGTACAGGTAACTGTCCAAAAAGTCATTTGTGTGAAGACGTTCAGTATGGGTAATAAGCCTGGAAATGAGAAGAAACACTGTTATAAGCTGGTAGATTTTAAATGAGTAGCTCAACTTTTTACAGTTTCCTCCCAAGAATTAGATGGGATACTGGATGTGTCCATTAAAGCTGCCCTTACCTTAGCTTAACAGAATAAGAGCAGATGATATCCACATTATTTTCTAACATAAATAAAAATATTTCCTAAATATCAAATGAACATTTGAAAGTAGTGTGCAAAACATGTTTTTGCACATTTCCTAAAGGAATTGTATTCTTATACCAGCGCACTCACAGCGGCTCTTTTATTTTCCACATGAAGTCTGACTCACTGTGTCTGAAAAAGCTTCCATCACAGACCACAGCAGAGAGTAACAAGAAGTTCATGGCACAAGATGAGTGGATTGAGCTGAATTAATTTTAATCTCAGATCACAGCACTTCACTTATAACAGATGAAAACTCATTAGCCTGACAGAGATCAATCTTGAACACAGTCTGTCCCTAAACCTCAGACTTCTTGGAGATAATAACAGCCCACTTTTACAGCAGAATAAAATCTGAAATAATGTACTTATGATACACATATTTTATAAACGAAGAGCAAAAAGCATCGGGCACGTCTGGAAACCCAATAGACCTCGGTTGGCCAAGCTGACTGCACATGAACAGACATGTCCGGATGCAATAAAACTAGTAAAGCATGGGAACGGACAATCCCTCTTCGCATGGCCATTAGAGCTAAGAATACCCTATTAGTTTTTATTTTGTATTTTTCAAAGGAAAGCACATTTAATGATCTGTGAAACAAGCTTCTGGAAGAGAAAGCCATGGGACATGTTTGCAGTTTGGAGACCGAAATTTTGAGATGCTCTTTGATGTTCTGTTTTTTTAAACTTCATGATCCTCTGCAGTGGCCACTTCATCTGCGCTCTGCTGCTAGCTTTCATCTACTTTATACAGCATAAGCTACTACAATTAGAGTCCCTGTAAAACGAGCAAAATACATGTCATTTTATGACAAAACGTGCCATTAATGTTATATAAAGCATGACTATAAGTATATCATGATACACTCTCTCAGACAGAACAGAAAACCGATTATAACTTACTCTACTTAACAACAAGGAGCTACCTAACCCATAGCAGTCACTGTTAATCAAAGACAAATAAACATTTAGAGATCCCCATCATACATACGTATGATCCAAAAATAAGGTAACCGAGGAATAAAAAGGTCTTGATTGAAATCTGTGAAAAGGCACAAACAAGTACACAATACAAAATATTGATACAACTACAAGCCACGCGCTCATTCTTAACCTCGCAATCAACCATTTTTATGACATTCACTTGCTTTCCTATTCTACAGCTTTTGATCCCATCACTTGGTCTTCAAGAACAGATGAAGTTTGCGCACTGGTCAGTGATCTGTTCGTCTTTAGGACTTCCTGTCCCACGAGTACGCAGGATGGTGTAAGCTTTGAATGAATGGATGACAGCTGAGCCAGTTAATATGCTGATGAAGATCGTGTGATATATTCAAAAGCTCTAGATAAAGATAAAGGTAGAGGACCTCATGTGCAGATTGACTGTTAATATCTTAGTAGAATAAGCTCACATTGTATGTTTGTTTTATTCTGAATGAAGGACGCACTGGCTGGTAAAAAATTGAGTTTTGGGTTTGTTACGATTTTTATCTCTTGGTTGTTTAGTCCATGCAGCATATTTCAGGCCATGCTGGATTGTCACACAATAAGGGCGTTTTTTTTTTTCCAAGGCACAGCAAAAGACACGAGTAAGAAATTAACATTCAGTCACATGAGAAAATCTTTTACCCGCTGCAAAGAGGATTTAAAAGAAAAACAAAAAGAACAAAAAAAACAACAGATTGACACAAAAAACATGAAGTTTAGCACATATGAAATGCATACCTCATTTAAACGATATATAATTAACATGCAGTGACGTGTTACATAGCATATGTCAACTGAAAACAGCATGATAGTGCTTTATTTTACTGTTTGTCTTTGTAACATAACAAAACCTAAATTCAGCAGTGAACTATTTGACCAACACCAAAAAAACTGGAAATTTTTATAAAAGCTTTTGAGTTTAGCAAACTTAGCAAAACCGAATAACTTCTTCTGGAGATTTCCATGTTGTTCTCCTGCAGTGGCACAAAACAGACTCCATGGCATATTTGGAAAATGATGTAATTTTAGGATGCGCTTCTATTATACTCCATTTCTTCACAACTTAAAGGAACAGCTTCACATTTTACAAAACACTTTCTTGCCTGCACTTTGATGTATATATTAGTACCATAGCAAGTTAGCTTAGCTTAGCAGCAACACACCATAAAGCAAAGTCTCTGCTAGTTTCTGGTTTTAAACCAGTCTCTGGTTTAAAACCAGAAACTAGCTGTTTCCCCTCCTTTCAGGTCTGTATGCTAAGCCAAAGATATTGTAATTTTGTTATGGGCTAAACGAACAGACTGCTAGCTATGCACATTGCATAGCTAGCAGTCTGCATAAAAATGAGGTAAATACAACCTTAAATGATCTACAACACATGGCATATTACACTCAGTCATTACTGATTAACATAAGCAAAGCCAAAATGCAGAAGCAGTGTAAGAAAGTACACCCTTACCGCTTCCTTAGGAATTAAAAGAGAAAGTAGCAGCCAGTTCTTGCTAATCAAATGCACTTGATTAACTGATCATCAGTAAGTCTGACCAACTAGGTAAAAGCAGAGATTTTGACAGTTTGCTGGTCTGGAGCATTCAGATGTGTGCTAATGCAATGCCAAGGAGGAAAGGCATCAGCAATGACTTTCGAGAAAGAACTATTGCTGCCCGTCAATCTGGGAAACGTTAGAAGTTCATTTCCAAGCAATTTAAAGACTACAGTTACAGTCTACATTATTCTACAGTGAGAAGTGGAAAACATTTAAGACAGTT